CTACAAAACGGGTCTGTTTGGTACACAAACATGTTCTTAAAAATGTAAAAGAGACTCAAAATAATCAAGTTTGTAAATTAAACTATCACCTTAGGAAGCTGAACAAAAAACCATCAAGGTAATACAACTCGCAAACCCCCCGAATGTAGCACCATATTGTGAGATGGAACTTAAAAATTTGTTGATTGGTTTGATGACAAGACCATATAGGTTTTTGATAACATGTTGCAGTGTATAAACAAGCATCTTCTAAGAGTCTTGTGACTTATGAGACGCATGTGATATACAGCTTAGTCCCACTCCCACCTAAAGTATTTCTAGTCGCATTAGAAACTATAAATAGAGATTGATAGACATACAAAGGGAGACGTGTACACACACCCTGTTTGAGTAAGAAAAAAGGGGGAATTTTAAAACGTGGACAAATGAGACGTAGATAAGTGTTATGGAGCTATGAAAAATAAGTGAGATTGCTTTCGAGTTTTCATAGGTTTTAAGAACTCGAGATGTCCCTAACTAGTTTTCTTCTTTCCCATCATCATTCCTTCATTTTCTTGTTTGTTTGTTTTAGTTCATATGTTTCCATCTTGTCACATACACGTAAAAGTACAAAGCCTAATTTATCACGTGCGAAAGAATCCAAGAAATAGTTACTTGTGTTGTTGATTAATTTCATAATGTTTATAGAAGCATCCCTAATCTAGTGGTTATATTACTTGATTTGTGCTTTTATTAATCATGAATATAACATTTATTACCAGCCCAAATCAAGTGTGAGTATACTTGTACCAGGATCCTTTCGGATAAAAATGATAAATTTTGTTTTCAATGCATCTCTCATAAAAAAGGAAAACCCTATTCTGATTTTTACCGAATTCATTTAAGTAGGACATACACCATATGAACTATTGGTCACTGATTTGATCTAAGCTCAAACAAAAATTTTGTTTTCGTACTCTTTTGTCTCATAGTTTTCCTGTTGTCTTTGAGAGTAAATACAAACTTCAAATTAATTGGTTGTCCTCGTTCTCACAGGCTCTTCTTAAAGCACACGTGGTTCATATATATCTAATCCTTCATGATGCCTCCTCTTCTCTGTTTATATTATAGATTAATGATATGTTTTATTACAAGATCAAACTGATCTGAAACCAAAAAAAATATACTTAGTCGAGTTGGGATAAAACAAAATTGTAGTTTGTAGATCGAATAAGCCAAGAACATAAATATGGCTTTTAGGTTTTCTTGTGATCTGTTGAGAATTGAGAAAATGATGTACTAAAAGAAAACACGTGGTTGGTGAACACAATAAAAGGCCTTCAAATGTCGACATAAGGTACAAACCAAACCAATACATCCACAGTCACAAAACCGAAAGCACAAAAAGGAAGAGTGTCCAGTGGTGGAGATTCTATCTTCTTTAGTCTCCAAATTCAAACTCAAAACAAGAAAGAGAAAAAATCATGAGCTCGTTGTGTTATATTTAAAAAGAAAATCAACCCAACATACGGTACAAAACACCAACCATTTACACAACGCATAAACAAACCCATCTAAAAGAGTTAACATCACAAAAAATTTAGTCAAAAAGAGAGGCAACGTTATCTTATTTAATTTTATGGCTATGGGTCAAATTATATATTTATAAAGTTTGGGAAATAACCACTAGTCTGCTACACTATTGTACTATGTACTAGTGTGAGCTCATTATAGCTATTATTGTCTCAAGAGGACAAAATGATTAATTCTTTTGACAAAATGATTAATTAAGCATCGTTATCGAAATCTATATTTTAAGCATTAGTTAGTACAAAAAATGCGTCACCTGATTTGATGGTGCAGTTTTAGATTTCCAATGTTTTAACTTTTATCTTTTAAGAACTCTACATTCCAGATAGAGGAAAAGCTGTTTCATACAGGGTTATATTTCTCTGTGTGACGAAATAAATTTATTGTGGCATTAGAGGGGATATAACATAGAGTTATACTGATTGTTACTTTTTTTGACCAAAACAACCGATCATTATGGAGGTGGGAACAAAGCTACTAGCCATCACATATACAGTTAATAAAATGCTGAAAAAACACAGTTAATATCTTGCATAATGATTGGATGGATGTAATTGCAGATATGTATTTCTAAAGGTATGGTGAATCGCTAGAGATGTTACTCGTAAACAATTATATAATTTTCAATCAGATTGGTTGTCTAAAAAAAATATCATTCACATTTATTTGTATAGTTATCGATTAATAATACACAAGGGAAAACAAAGAACAGAGATCTAGAAGTTAAATAGAAGAAAGACATGCGGATCTATAAGATTATTTTCTATGTATTTCCCTATTTCTATTTCTAAAATAGAATATTCTAAATAAAGATGTGTTTTTTTCTAATATTCTTCTATTTTTACTCTAAAAATAAATATTTTTAAAGATTCTATTTTAATTTTACCACAAGTACCTTTTATTTATAAAAATTAAATATTAACTCTATTAAGTTTTAATTTCTACAAGAGTTTCATAAAATTATGATTTTGTTTCAACAAAAAAATTATTAATTAGATAAAAAGTGTGATTCTATGTTTATAAAAACTGTATTTTCCAATTAAAATAATTACTTTAGTTATAGTTATAAAAGTTTTAAAATTAAAGGACTGTTATAAAAAAAATGACTCTATAATAAAATAATTCTATTTTCTCTTCTATAAATAGAAGTGAAAATAGCAATCTCTATTTTAAAGGTGAATACAGTAATGAAATATTTTTTTATTATAACATTTTTTAATAACAATAGGTTGGAGATGCTTTAAGAGTATATCAAATCCAAACCTATTTTTTATATTTTTTTTGTAAATTAATATAATTCTATTTTATAATAAATTTGATTTGATTACTTATTCTATTATACAGTAAGCCAATAAAAGTTATTTTATAATTGAGTTTACCGTATAGAGTAAATCTAATTTATTTTAGAGCGAATTATAAAGAAAAAAAAAGAATAATATTGGAGATGGTAAGATTGAGATATCATCTTCTTCTTTTTTTTTGTTCAAAAGATTGAGATATAATCTTAGTTCTAACTATTCCTCGTCATTCATCCCTCAAGTCAGTTCAGTAGCTGTACAATGTACCATTGCCATCAATAATTTTGGTTTAAAATATTCAATTCTGAGTTAGTGACTTGCATCAGTTTATCTGACATAATTATTGAGCATGATAGTGAATTTACTAATGGACGATTAAAACGACTCATCATGATTAGCGTCTAAAACGGAAATTCGAAACCTGGCCCAAATTGAGAAAGAAAAAACTTTTAAAATGCAGCAATCTGAACGTTGTGTATTCACATTATGTAACTTTTTCTCAATAATTCATTTAAGATATTAAAAACCAAGATGGTTGCTGATTGGAAAACAAAGTAAATGGTAAGCCCAATCAAATATGATAGATATCTTGTTTAGCTTCTCGTCAACTACTGGCCAAACTGAATTATTCGATTTTTATAGTTTACTTGGTTTTTTTTATATTAACAATTCATTTTCCATGAAATTATACCATAGACCGCATTTTTATTTTTAGCCAAACAAAAGTGAGATTTATATATTTTATATATGATAAAAGGAAGTGTATATGATCAGAAAAGATTCACGAAACATATAGTTTCAATAGTAATGTCTTTAGATTTAATTGGTGGTTGTAATTCCCAACCATCACAACTCGACTGATCAAACTTCAGCCGTATTAAAATTACCAACCAAGCAATTAGTTGGGTGAGTCAGTCGTCTGATGTTTTAAAAGCTTTATAAATCGAGTGAAATCATGTGAAAACACTCTATCGAGTGAGTTGTTATTCAGTTTGAGAGCAAACAATATCCTCGTTTGTTAGTTTTGAGATAATTAATTCAAAAATGGAAACGGTTAATTTGATGAACAAAGATTATTAAAGCTTTCGTATAGAAAGGCTTTTTAGATGGATCCACAAATCACCAGAAAATCTCAACGGGTTAATACCCATATCGCATTTTTTTTTGGTCAAACCCATATTGCATTTCAAACTAAAAAAATACTCAGCAAAGATTTGTCTAGAATTTTTCTATTGATTGTTGTCTCACTAGTAGGGCTTAGCTTCCTGGAAACTCTATTAGTCAAAAGGTTCTCAATAGTCCACATATGATTGAAATTGCTTTTGACCTAATGGTTGTTGTAATAAGGAAGCTAGCCGATGTTTAGGCGAATTAGTTTAATTAAAATAGTGTAAAGCCTATGCTTAAACAGTTCCAGTTTTTGATAGTGTTAAGTGTTAACGCTTTATCAGGATGGCCAACAAAGAAACTGAATGTTAACACTTAACCGCATGTTCACCAACGAAATCTATAATAACTGATTGGGTCTTCATTTTACAAATTGGCTTATTATAGAATGAAATGTTGAACTCATCAAATTAATAGAAATAGGAAAAAGTAGGTCTGGCAGAAGAATTCATTGGACAAAATAGTCACACACATTACACATACGACTTTTTTCGCCGGCTGTGTTCCTCACGCGCCACCTTTGGAAAACCCTGTTTAAATGAAGACCACAATCTGTTTACGGATTTGACCCACCAGGTGGCTCTCTTATCCAATCACTTCAGACCACGTGTCAGAAACCCTCTAACACTCTCTTAACAAAGATTGGACACAAAACAAAACAAAACAAGAAAAATTAAAAGAAAAGTGAAAGGAAAAACCACAATCTCCGCTGTCTTGGAACCCTTTTCTCTCACCTTCTCTCCGTTCGACCTTTCTCCCTCTATATCTCTTTATATACCGACTGTGTGGCCTTTACAGTCTATGCAAAGAAGAAGAAAGCAATACTCATCAATATACAAGATCTCCAACGATTGAATTTAGGGCTCTCTCGTGTATTCATTAGGGTTTTAAGAGATCTGTGAGAATTTGAGTCCACAAGTGGGTTTATTGAATTTAAGTTGTTATTAGAAGGAGGTGATTGAGGAAATGCAACAGAGAAAAGCTGACAGAAGAGAGTGAGCACATGCAGGCACTGTTATGTCTCCATAACTTTGCGTGTGCGTGCTCACGGCTCTTTCTGTCAGTTGCCTGATTTCTCGCTTTCTCTCTCTCTTTCTTCTCTCTATCATCTACATATCACTTACCTTCTTATCATCTCTTTTGTTGTGCACTTGGCTGGTGATGTGGATAAGACTGATGCCCTTTCGTTATCATTTTGTTACATGTATATATTTTATATTTTCTTGTTTTGGTTTTGAAGTGGGTGTTACGCTTAAGAATGTTTGTTCTCAGGCAATTTGGTGGAGCAAAGCTTAGATTTTTTATATATTTGGGTTTATGATAATATAAACTTTTAAGTGTGCTCTATTAGTTGTTTTCTTTTAGTGGATCTAGGAAATGCGCGAGTTTTGATGATCATGAATCCTCCCACCGGTACATATTCTTCTCAAAGAATATTAATTAACAATTGCTTGTCTCTTTGTCTTTATTTATTTTAGGATGTAATCTGTGATCTTATTTCTTTTTAGTTTGTTTGTTAAAAGTTTCTGCATGTTGAAATTCTCTAATGTTGCATCTGTTTTTCTCCTTATATTTTCTTTCTTTTCAGTTTTTAGAAGCCAAATGTGGCTTTCAGGTTCACCAAAAGCCATAAATGATGGAATTTCGTGAATAGTGATCTCTCTTTTCAGTTCTATTTCATGTAGATACTAGTTCTGTGTCGTTTCAATGGGAATGGGAAATTTTCTAATAAGTAAGTTGGTAATGAACCACTGAAGCTACTAGCTGTTTGTTCTTAAAAAGTATTTCCTCTATAATTTCCTTTTTGGTGTTAGGTTTGTACGGATTAATGCTACTTGGTGGTGCATTGAAGTCCATCTTGGAATGTGATGTAGGAGTAGGTGAAGGAGATTCGCTTAAATTGATTTCTCTGCAAGTTGTGATCCAACTAAAAAGGTTGAACCCTATACCTAAGCCTTTTCTATTACACATCCTTTGTTCTTGTAAGTTTTTTCACTACTGCTAAATTTGCTAGGAAATAGATTTCGTTGCTTGTTTTTTGCTTTCTTCCAATTGCAAAAATGTTTTTAACTTGAAATTGTTATCTTATATGGTACCCCAAAAAAGTTGTAAATGTTATTTTATATTCGATTTGCTTATTTTCTGTTGCCAAATGATGATTAAACTGTTATTCTTTACTGAAATAATTGGTCTAATCAAAGTGAGGATTGAATTGTTATTCTTTACTATATTTCATCTTATGTTTATTCTTGTTGGTTTCATCTTTTTGTTTTGCTGACCAAAGCTTGTTTTTTTGTCTTAATGATAATTTTTCACCAAACTCTAGTGCTTTGTTATTGGATGCCTAATTTTGCAGTCTTTAGTTACTAAAGGCATTATAATGGGTTTAAGCAAGCTGGTGTTTTTTCTTTATCCAGGATATTGATTTTATAGGGCATTTTGTTAAAGTCTTTTTGGTTCTGTGAAATTGGTGAACCATACTTGTGTCTAATGTTCTTCACTTTGAAATCCATAGTTGACCTCGTGTACTAAATAATAGTGTAGGCGAAAATGTAAAACCTAATTTGTTTTCTCTTCTGTTGCTTGATTGACTATATCTCATCAAATGATACTGTTCGCTGGTTGATCTCTAGCTTTGTTGTGCAGGCTTATTCTTAAAAGTATTCGATTTTTTTTTTTGTCAATTGGATGCATGGATCAAACCAGTGACAGTGGTGTGTTTTTTTTCCGTGGATTGGGTAGCTGGATTTATTGTAATCATGTTCAGTTGTTCACAGTATGTATAAAAGAAGACTGTTGTGTCTGATGAAATCAAATTGAAAATATGGTTAATTACCTGTTCTAGTGTCTTAATTAAGTGCTTCACCTTGAGATCAGTAAAGGAAGAGTGTCTTAATTAAGTGCTTAACCTTGAGATCAGTAAATGAAGTGCAAAACAGATAACAAGTGGAGATGCATTAATTTTCCCTGTACATCATCACAGTCTTAAGTTTTGTCGCCAGCTTCTTTTCCTTAGCTTGAATATTCATGCTTTTATACAATATAATCTATATATAAGGCAGACGTTAGAAATTGCATGTATTTGTGTTTGTATTTGTATTATGATGACTGTGTTGTTTTTGCTGATCTTCATGGCTTATATTCAGATACTTGCTCTTGAATTCATATAATGAGTGAGTTCAAATGATCCTCAGACGTCACAGATACTGTGAGGGGGGACAGAGATGATTAATTTTGTTCATAAAACTGTCTGAAAGATTCCAAATATATCTTGTTTTGATATAGAATATCATGTTTTCATAGCCAGAGAGTAAAATGTAGAGGCAGAATTAATCAACCATATCTCAGATATAATGTGTGATGCTATCTGATGTAGTTAGGTTACGTTGTACTCCTTTTGATGCATTACCAGCTAAGCTATATATACTGATTGTCCATAGATAAAAAAAACAAAAAAAAAACACCAAATTAGATTTGTGTGGATCCAATCACTCTCCAACTGTTGATATATGCAGATAGATATAACTTTGAACAATCGTTTATACTTCATTACTTTTCGTAGTTGTAAGTGTGCTAAGGGCAGCTATAGCACAAGTGGTGTTAATTCTTGCTGTGCGAGTGGGTTTACTAAGCTGAATAAGATCATGTTTTGTGGATTTGGGCATTGTCATCACCAAAAGACCTATGCAAGAGAACTTCCCACGGTAAAGCAATAAGTACCACCTGATTTTGTGTGTTTTATTGTTTTCGCAGCAGAGTGAGATCAAGATCAAGGATATCTAAATTTCAAGGTTGGAAGTGTGTAGCAATCAGGTAAAGTCATTGACGATAACATAAGGGAAAGAGAAACATTCATGTCACTACCTCATTTTGATCCGTATTGCATTATGAGTTTATCAAACTGCAATCACTCAGTTATCGAATTTCTGAATTTAAGATCTTATGGTGGTTGATATATAATATATAGAGATTCTTAGATCATCATTGATTTTGTGGGATTATTGACTTGAAACTGAAGATTGGCAAGAGCTCTTGTTGCTTATTCTACTCTATGATCACAGATGCATCAGTTTCATCAGCTTAAGCAACCTTCCTTATTCTCGCCTCTCTGCATATGATATGATACAAATATAGAGAATAGTTCTGAGGTAATAGTCGATTTCTTCTCTGCTTTTTGTAGTTAAGAACTTGGTTCATGTCGATGGTGTTGTCAATCGAAGGTGTGTGACATACAAGCATATTAACAAATTTGGAATACGGATTATGTTTGTTAGAACATGGAATTGAACTTATATGGTGATATATTAGTTAGCATCTATGAGTTTCATGTATTTTTACCTTGATGTATTGGATCTACTATCTGACTAGACTCATACAGTGTTGAGGAAAAGTGGTTCTTCATCTCGTCATATAGTTTCTTCTTTATAGTCTTTTGCCCTAGGTCCATAAACCTAAACCATTTCATGCATTTGCTCTGATTCCTTCCTTGAAACAACATATTCAAAAGAGTAGCTAAATTGTTATCTTAGATATTTTCTTATGTGAACTACATTTTACATGTCAATGATGTTGAATTTGTCATCTTTTACATAGAACAAGGGGTGTGCAGTCTTTCTCCTAGGTCATGGCGTAAAGATGATACCGGCTAATTATGTCATAAGAGGGCTTCATTAGCGGTCTAATTCTCAGAAACAGTAAAAAGGTTCGATCCTGTTCTCTTCTCATTTTCACAGCAACATGTGTGAGTTTATATCATTTACTGATGTTAAGGTTTTTTTTCCCTTTTTCAAGAGTTACTCTTAGAGAATCATGGATTTGTGGACTGGTCTTGTTCTTACTGATTAATCTTTAAATCGAGAGCTTAGGTGTTGAGCTAAACACATAATCACCAAGCTAAATGGTTAATCAGTATGCTGGCTTAAAGAACTGATTCATCTTAGACCGGGTTAGATATAATACGGAGAGTAGTCACCAGTATTTAGGCTAGTTGACAAATTTTAGAATATATGTGTGATTGCGTTGCTTGTAATATTTGCACCAATTTAAGGTAAGTGACGAAATGGAGTAGTTTAATTTTGAAACTCTTGTTACAATCAAACTTAGATTGTTGTTAGAAAATCACAAGGAAATGAATGGTTAGTGTGGAGTTAGTAGCCACCCACTCGTTAGATCAAACCGTGTCCCACCCTCCTTTCCTTGTAAGCCTAATACTTTCAAACTTCGCCGTGATTCCTTTCCCATCTGCTTTTAGCTCAAAGTAAATTATATATTTAAACATTAAGTCAATGCTCATACATAACAATATAAAGAATAAATAAGATTTTGCTATCAGACTAATTTATTCTAGAGAGAATACAAAACTAACTAATCCAGTCTTAGGAGGTTACTCTATAAGTTGTATACTAATTTTTCAATCCTCTTGTCCGATTTTCGAGCTATTTTGGCGTAAATGATCATCATTGACATTTCTTTAATTAGATGGAATCAGCTTTCCTATGTGAAAGACATACAGTGCAATATAGGATTCTATAATGTATCCGCATGATCCGTTTCGATTTAATCAGAGTATACTTTATACATCATATCAATTGGATTAGATGGAAATTAACTTTATAAACCATTGTAGATTAATACAAAACAACAAAGGAAAACATGAGTGTGCATTGATAGTGGTTTGTAGTAGGTAAAAGACAGATACAAAACAAATACGGTGTCGTGCTCCAAAACGCAACCCTTATTCTCTCTAGACTTTGACCATAAAAACCACCTATCCATCCCACTTGTCCCTTGTCTCTGTTTCCCACTCAGCCTAACCCCCGAAAATAGGAAAATTAGTTTCAAACCGCCGTTATCACGGCTTGGAAACTGAGGAAGCGTCTTTAACGTTTACCAACGAGGCACCGTTACCGTTAACGACTGATGTAGTAGCTGCGTTAGGAGACAAAGGAACGCCAGCTTCTTTAACGGCTGAGATCAGAGGATTATTACGGGAAGGACAAGTGGCGGTTGAGATTGTGGTAGCCAAGGATATGGGCATGAGGCATAGACCTTTGCCTTGTAGGTACTGCATGGCCGATCCCATGTCCTCTTCCATTAGCTTTGCCACTTGGTGCTCCGTCATCTTCGCCGTCGTGTGATTCTCGTCGGAGGTGTTTTCGTTGGACCCACCAGCATCCTGAAAAAGTTATAAAAATTAAATTTGTTTTGTAAAAAGCATGAAAAGCAAAACCCTAAAGCTATGATGTCAAAATCGAAGGTTTAGGTGAAAAATCAGCACGCGTGCTTTGCATTTTTTTTTAGTTTGTTGTTTTGTCTTTTTTACTCTTTTCGGAAAACTTTTATTTGGTGTTAGAAAGTCGAAACCAAAACTACTTTTAACTTGTCTCTTCTTTAACCAAATCAAGAACCTCCATCATAATATAATAATCTATTTCTAGTAGCTGTGACATAAATGATTAAATCTCATTCTAATGTTTCTAGTGATTTCGTCGTCTTCATCATCATGTACGAAAATGATACGAACGTGCGAATAATAAAATGCGATTTATATGATAACTCACCATAAGAAAAAATATACTAGTATTTGACTTATATGATAACATAATTATATCTAGTCTGTGATACTTTTTTTCTAATCAACATTTTGTCCATGATTAGAAACTAAAAAGAAATAAAAATAGCTGAATTACCTCATGAGAAGAAACAGAAGCAGCAGCACCTCCCAATCTACTCATGCTTAGTACCTAAATATATAAAAAAATTTAAATAAGGTTACTAAGTTCACCGTTCTACATCTTAACTATACATAGATAAAATATGAGAAGATTACTATTTGTAAATTCCAAAAGATAAATAACTGCAAAAAGATAGAGAGAGGGAGCATAAGGAATTTAAATGGCAGAAGTCCATACTCAATTGATTACATTTTGTATTGTCAAACTCAGAGGTAACGAAGCTTCCATTAATATATATATAGATATTTTTACATTAACTTAAAAAATTATCAGAGAATCACCTTGACTTGGAGCTGTAAGAACTTGACATAATCGATAATCTCATCGAGCATTGATGCTTTGTCTGTCTGTTAATTATTATTTTAAAACAATAGAAAAAAAAACTCGTTAGCTAGAGATCCTACATCTGTTTGTTACTTACTTTTTATTTTAACCTAATACTAAAATAATTAATCAGTGTTTAATCATTTGGTTGTATAAAAGTCCAAAGCTCTGTGTATTAGTACTAAAATAGTACTAGCATTTGTGGTCCAAGTTATGAACTCCAAGACGAAACACACATCATCAATGTGATTCATATGATTAACACATTATTCAATTCATGATACATTTAAGAAATGTATACACCAACTTGATTGGAATCCCCTTTAATTAAGAAACTTTACTAACCGTGGACATAGATGATCGAAATCAATAGTATCAATAACTTAAACTTACCTTGTTGCCATTAGGGACAAGTTCTTGAAGAGATTTCATCCTTTCCGCTATTCTCTCTCTTCGTAACTGGTCCATAATTTCAAAATATTTCAAATAATTACCCCAAACATATGTAACTGCACAGTTGGCTACATACAATTTTCTTGGTAACTGAACACGAATAACGAGGAAAAATAGAAGAAGAAAAAAAACGAACCCGTTCTGCGATACTGTGAGGATCAGTGGCTTGACCTCTTCTAGCTCGGACTTTAGGCTTAGTCGTCTGAGTCGTCACGGCCGTTCCACCGGTGGTGGTTGACGCCGTCGCCTGAGAGTGCGTTTGTGTGTGACTTTGTTTCATAACTCCTCCTCCGGATCCCTGAGGGAAGTGGAAAGGAAGAGATCCAGCGGAGAAGCCGTTGTAGAGAGCGTTAACATCAACGGTGTCGTTTGGATTGTGGTGAGACAAAGGAATCATGGTGATTTGGTTTCTTGAATCAACGTCGTGATGGTGAAAGGTACCGACGGGGGAGTCTGAGGTAGGAGGAGGAGCGTCGTCGTCGAGTACGGAGGAAGGCCAAGGAGCGGAGGAGGCGAAGATGTTTTGGAGGAAGTCATCGTGGTCAAAAGTTGCATGAGATTGGAGATGATGAGGTGAAGAAGAAGAAGATGAAGGAGTTAGAAGAGATGATGAGTTCATAGCTTTCTGCTTCTTTTCAAAACTCCGATTTGAGTGAGGGTTTGTTGAACATGTAGAGGTGGTTTACGGCTTTTATGGTGTGTTTAAGGAGGGATAAGGATGGTAATATTGGGAGTTTATAGGGTCATAAGAGTAAAAGCATACGTTAACATTTTTTTGTTATATCAACTTCAAGATAATAAAGCAGAATAACACTTTTGGGAATGACAACTATTGAAACATATTAAATTCGGACATGTAACATAAATGCGTAAAGTCATATAATCATGTAGCTCTCTGGTTCATCTCGAGATTCTACTGTTTACCAATTGTCGCCAAGATCACAAACATGCTATCCCCATTGACGATACTTGTGTTTTAGAATAAGTATCAACAAAAAGATCACACTTCTTATAGTAGATGGTTCTATTTATATCGATACAATATTTCATCCGATGAACCTGTAGTGTTCTAACGACATTGTTAATGTTGAGAAATTTGGGATTTTCTTAAACAGGTATGATACTGAGTATATATCATCATCACCACGAGTACTGAGTATATAGTGTTAAAGTTTACAAATCCTAAAAGATTCGTGTTTTTCCTTACTAATACTATATAACATGAGAGATATGACCATTTTGTTTTCATTTCTATTGGTCTAACATTCTATTGTCATATAAGTGTGCCATCTATTGTCTTGGAATATAAGTTATAATATAATATGTTGATCAATAATGTTATAACCCATGCACAATAATATTAAGTATAATATTTCTTAAGTTTGTAAGCTCCCTCTATTCCATAGATGATTTGGTATTTTTTTGTCATTTGTTAATGGTATTAAATTATTAATGATAAAATTATAATAAAAATTTGAAACAAAGAAATTTCATTTTGTCATTTCATACAAAATTTCAAAGAGCGATTAATGCATTGAACAAGATTTCATTAAGATTTAGTTGTATAGGGAATATATATTACAAGGATGCATGATTAAGCACATGGGACATTCTGAGTTTTGCACAAACTCACAAGAGGTAGAGATGGGCTTTAATTTAATACACTTCCCATTTATTAATTGCAATGTTGGTAAGCATTGATGTACTACACAACAGATAGATATATAGATCTACAATCTCATATAACACAATAATCATTTCTGTTTTCTGCTTAATTAATAATGTAGATCATATGGATATGAAATCAGTTCTTTATGAATGAAAATTTTGAGCGTTTATACATATAGACGGTGGGCCATAATTTTTATTGGGCTAAAGGAAACTTTGCAACATTAATGGGCCTGCTTATTGGGCATGCGTAAGCATACGAGGTATGTTTTGAAGGACAACAAAAGAGAGATTTAAAAGCGAAAGCAACTGCAAACTTATCGTGTGACAATTCAAGGGTACTATTACCACTCATGTTCATCCACGAATCTTTCGTGTACGATGGGATCTCATCTTTTATTTATTTTGTTCCGAATAAGAAATAATTGTTGGCCCATTGAGTCAGCGACATGACATGTTCATCATTTTCTTACAACCACATAAGAACCTCTAACAACACAAGAACCTCAAACTGTTCTTCATTTTCTTTTGATTCTCGCCATTTTTCTAAAGAAAGTAATCTACTGTTTGTGTAAGGGATGAAGCAATCGTCATGGGGTTGCACAATCTTCATCCAATTATCTCTCTGTCTCATCGTCTATGTGTCTCTGCATTTGGGTCACCAATCTTTGTCATCAAACAAAGATGGTGACAATGCCGGAGCTCTAGATCTCCATTTCATCTCTGTCTCCGGTGGTTTCAGGCCTCCTCACCGGCAAACTCGCCTTCTCAAATTGGTGTGTGTTTCTTTTCTTCTTTCAGTGTGTGTTGTTCTGTGTTTCGGTTGGATCTATGCAATGTGTGTAGTTATCAAAGGCATTGGTTTCAGTATACAAAGTTTGGTTCTTTATAGAATTTCTAGCCTCCCCAGACTGAAAGATTGTGTCTTTTAATTAGATCACAGTCTTGGTTCCACTAGAAAGGAGAGAGCAGCTTGTTTTGTTTTGCTTCTTCTTAGTGTTGTTGATTCGGCCTTTACATTAGGCAGTTTAATTTGAAGGACATAAGGTCTTAAGATTATATGTTTCCTTGGTAGGTAAGCGATTATTGTACTGATGTTGTGTTATTGTTTTGATGGAATGAAGATGGAGAGAGTTGCGGAAACTTACAAGGCTAAATTTGTGGTGAGCACAAGTGAGCATGGAGAAGAAAATCTACTCCTCCTAAATGTCAGCTCTCTATCTCAATCTACTTTTTTGCTTCCTTGAATTGTAAGGGGTCTCAGTAAAATGAATGTCTTGATTTTTTTGGCAGGATACTAGAGTCTCATCTTCACTGAAACTTCCATGGTAATTTGATCTTGTGGAACAAACCCTTTTAGCTAACTTACTTCAACAGTAAGACTGATCAATGTTATGTAATTATAGGTACAGTATGAAGAAAGGATCTGAGAGTTTCAGAGAGCACATCGAGTTGCCTTTTGGTGGATCCTTGGATGTTGTTTTTGTAGACACTGGCTCGTTACAGAAGGTAGAATGAGCTTGTTTATGTGAATTTGAAAGAAAGACTTTGCTTCTGTTTTCTTTGTTTCTTTTGTCTGATTAATAATTTCACTATTTTACTGCAATTCAAGCAAATGATGAGTGGAGCACTGAATGGCTCGATAATCAGTCAATTAAATGAACTTACAGAGATCCTAAAAGCAGTAGATGGAGATTGGTAAGTCTACTACTCAGAATCTCTTGATCTCTCAAGGAATCTTGTGGCAATAACGCAACAAAGCTTCTCCGTTTCTCTATGGATGAAACAACATTCTATAGTTCTTCTTGATACAGGCGCATTGTTGTTGGATCAGACCCGTTGTTCGGTTATACACTAAGTAATGGTCCGGAGGAAGCCAAGGGAGTTGCAAGGACATTTCAGCAAATCACCATCAAATATGGAGTGGTAAGACACTGAATATCCCATCGCATTCCAAAGAATTTTTATCGCTGCATCTAGTCAATGAAATGGAAAACATCTGAGAGGATTAACTTTGATGATTCAAGAACATGTATATAAGCGAAAAAGGCTGCACCAGCGGAGCCAAGGATGACAGCTTCAGTTGCATTATGGTTCCTAATAAATTAGAGAACAAAGGTTCAACGAATGATAGTAAGAGGTAACAAACATCTCTTACATGACAATATTAATCATAAGCCTATTGACAGCTCACTCTCAATATCTCTGAGAGCAATGCATCTTTTTCGATGTCAGGGAAATGGAAGATGGGTTTCTTCTCCACAGAGTTAGCTTCTCAGAGTTTGTAAGTACTTCTTTCTCTTGTTATGATAGTCCTTACTTGACAAAAGTGATGTAATATCTTCTTTGTTTTATCATAAACAGGTTACTTATACTATCAACTTATCAGGACAAGTCATAGACACAAGAATCATTAAGCAGAAAGGCAAAGAGTCCATCTAAGATTTTTCATAATTTTTTACCCTTCACCATTGTTGTAAAAACAGTGTAAACACCAACAATTTTTTATTCATCCTCTAATGATCGAAACACCCTTTCACCCCTCGGAGTCTTAGGTTATTGTCTGAGGGTAAAACTGGAAATCGCAAGCTAGAAAAAGGGTAATATAAAATGAGTGACCGTTTAGGGTTTTAGCACACTCATTAGTTTAAGTATGAGGTTCTGCTCCTGGAAGGTCTCGACATGGCGGCTCTATGTGGCCTCGCCGTCGTTTTCTTCACGGTGGAAGCGGATGCCGATGATTTCAAATATTTCTTGATGAGCTACTTGAAAAAGTGGTGATGAATCATTCAGTCATAATTCCATATCCACCACCACCACCAACAACTCTGTCTTCCTCGCTCTCGCATCTTTGCTGTTTTCTTCTCTTTTTATATATGTATAAGGTTTCACTCTCTTCTTCTTCTCTTCTTGAGAGACAATGATGATTATTAAGAAGTCAAAAGACCAGACTTTGTGTGTAAATACTCTCTTACATGGCGGGGCTTTGATAGCAGCCATGTCGGAAGAGTTTTTTATCCTCTAATCTGTCTGAGAAAAGGCGAATCTGAGTCCTCCTCTGTTACATGCAAAGTTCTTAATTTTTTTTTTTTTAAAAAGTAAATTTTATAAGCTACTGTTAAAGCTTGGATGCATCATTTTGTAGAAACGAAGTTTTGAGTAGTCAAATGATTTCATCTTTGTTACAACACAAAGTAAAATGGACAAAGCTCTTGTCTTTAAGAGCTCCTTTTTCAACTATTATATTTCCCACTAGTGTGTTCTTCTGTGCGATCTATCATACAAAATCACATGTATGTGAATTGCCATGGGCATATGGACCAATCTTTTGCCACCAAAGGTTTCAGATTCTGACCCAAAAGAGACATAACCTACTAAAAAGGTCGTAGAGAAGAAAAAAGGAACCTATAGCCTAATTAACAACTGTGAAAGCTTTCACAGCATTATTGGTTGCTTAAAATGTTAATTGTGGGCCTAAACCTTTGCTTTTAACTGAGAGAATGAGTGAAACAAGAGGTGAAAGAAAACAAAGGAAAAAGTTTGTAGTTTGGTGACAGTTCAAACCCACTGATATGAGTGGAAATCTTTTTTGATCAATATTCTGACTCTGTGGGCAAGTATTCTTTATTCAAAACTTGCCAGTTTTGATTGACTTGTTGTATTTATGACTGCTTGTGTTATCGGTGTGTGAGAACTTGGCTCGTTACTACTTTATTTTCAGACTAATCTAAGAAGAAGAAAACACTCAGTTGGTTTCTAGTTTGGTAATGGACCATGTGCTCCTTAAAATTATATACTGGAAAAATTATTTCTGAAATGTGGATGTGTTGTTCTTCCTAGTATCATAGCCTCAGTGACGCTCTCTTCAAGGGTCAAAGGATTATTCTCTAGATATCATTTTTCTTGGCAGTCAACCTGTTTTCAGAACGCTGTGTAGAACTGGATCTTATAAAGGACCAATATATTGGCAGATTATTGTATAGTAAGGTGTTTGTGTTAGTGATTGTTAGTCTTTTTATTTGTTTGTCAGCAGCATTGTTGAGAGTGAGAGCATATGAAAAGTTATTGATAATTTGATATACAGACAAACATTTCCCTTTTTTATCTCACTTGTGACCTCCACAAGCTCCAAAAGAGTTTACACTGAATACCAAAAGCTGACGCAGACACAAGACCAAAGACACATCTTTTTATTTATAGTCTATTGGTTTTACTTCTCAGTTCTGCAGAGAGATATGGAGAGAATGTCTGCTTGTTTATGTCTTGCGTTCCTGTTATTCTCTGTTGTTGCAGATGCAACGTATATTCAAAGACGTTCTCACCGTCTTTTATCTTGGAGACAAAACATGAAGACCTCCAAGTCAAACACAGAGTTACCCTCTCACTTTCAGACTTGTTACTTCCCTCAGAATCTTGACCACTTTAGTTTCCAACCAGAGAGTTACAAAATCTTTCACCAAAAGTACCTCATAAACAGTCATTTCTGGCGCAAAGGTGGCCCCATTTTCGTCTACACAGGCAACGAAGGTGATATTGAATGGTTTGCTTCCAACACCGGTTTCATGCTGGACATTGCGCCCAAGTTTCAGGCTCTTCTAGTCTTCATCGAAGTAAAAGCTTTTATCAAAGTCCCATTATGCATGTCTTGTTTTCAAGATTCTAACATAAAATGTTGTCTGGTTTTCCTAAATCATTTGCAGCATAGGTTCTATGGGGAGTCAAAGCCGCACAAGTTAGCCAATACATTGGGATACCTGAACTCACAGCAAGCGTTGGCTGATTATGCGATCTTGATAAGAAGCCTGAAGCAGAATCTATCCTCTGAAGCATCTCCAGTCATAGTCTTCGGTGGCTCTTATGGTGGAAGTAAGCTCAAAATATTCAATATTTGAATTCCTGTTCTAATTAACTATCTTATGTTGTTTACTCTCTATTTCCGGACAGTGCTTGCGGCATGGTTCAGGCTAAAATATCCACATATAGCAATTGGGGCATTAGCATCCTCTGCTCCAATTCTGAATTTCGATAATATTGTTTCATCTTCAAGCTTCTACGACACCGTGTCTCAGGACTTCAAGGTCTGTAATATATTAAATATGGTTGTTAGTTGGTAACAAAGAGTACACTCAGCATGAACTTCTCATTACGAGCAGGACGTGAGTGTTAACTGTTTTGAAGTCATCAAGAGAAGCTGGGGAGAGTTGGAAGTTTTCACCACCATTAAAGATGGCTTACAAGAACTCAGCAAAAAGTTCAGAACCTGCAAGTAAAATAAAATAAAATGTTTTCCCTCGCTGTTGATTCATTGTTTAGTTTTTATACAAATCTAAAGAGAACGTTTTTGATGAAAACTCACAGGAACCTACACTCTGTCTATTCAGTCTCTGGTTGGCTAGAATCAGCTTTTGTTGAAACAGCAATGGTTAATTATCCAACAGCAGCAAACTTCATGGCTCCACTGCCTGCTTATCCAGTGGAGCAGGTAAGACGTGTGAGAGTCTCAATACTTATTTTTGTAATAGTTTATTATTCTTAACGAGAGGCATATCTTATTGAACCAGATGTGCAAGATCATCGACGAGTTACCTCTAGGAGCTAGCAATCTAGAGCGTGCGTTTGCAGCTGCGAGTTTATACTACAACTATTCAGCTTCAGAGAAATGCTTCGATATAGAAAACCCTACTGATCCTCATGGACTCGACGGTTGGGGATGGCAGGTAATGAATTCTGTGTTTCTTGTTTTATTGAAAAAAGATATTGGAACTTGCTAATAATGGATCAACGCGAATAAAAATAGGCTTGCACAGAGATGGTGATTCCAATGAGGTGCTCGAACCAGACCATGTTTAGACCATTCGAAAGTGATGATGAGAAAGCAGACCAAGAATATTGTCTAAGGGAATACGGTGTCAAGCCTAGACCACACTGGATCACTACCGAATTCGGCGGGCAGGTTGTTTCACTCATCTCTTGTCTTTTTCTTTTCAAAGTATAACATACTTCCAAGCTCAGAGTCTGTTTCTTTGCAGAGAATAGAGATGGTGTTGAAGAGATTTGGTAGCAACATTATATTTTCCAATGGATTGCAGGATCCATGGAGCGGAGGAGGGTGAGTTTCTTATCCATATTCTTTATTAATTTTCTCTAGTACAAAGAGTTAATATGATGTCAATGGCTTTTTTTTTCAGTGTCCTGAAGAACATATCGAGCAGTATCATTGCGCTTGTTACCAGAAAAGGTTAAAGTTTTGTGAAATTCAAAGAGTGAATTATAAACAAAGAGATTTAAACGTTGTTTGTTTAAAAAGCAGGAGCTCACCATACGGATCTAAGAGCTGCTACAAAAGACGACCCTGAGTGGCTGAAACAACAGAGGAGACAAGAAGTTGGTATTATAGAGACATGGATCAGTGAGTATTTCAGTGATCTGGGACAAGAAGAGCAAGCTAAGTGAAAAAGGACCATTCATTCTCTGATTGTCATGTGTCTGTAATGAGTAAAAACTATTATCCAATAATAAAAGGAGTCACTGTACTTCGAATTTGTATTTTGATTACCAACAAGGCAACAACAAAAGTTACAATGAAGGGTAATTTCTGAGCCTAATGAAAGTATAGTCCCATTTGAAAAGACTAAAATTCAAAGGGTAAACTGATAAATTAGTGAATAAAAATAGAGCGCCTTTTTCAGTAAGATTATAGAAAACTCAAAAGGGTCAAACCGTAAATTCGTGAAGAGATCAATCAGTTAGAGTGATACCGTGAGAAACGCACCACCGACATCTGAACCAGACCGACTGAAACGCTGTCGTTTAACTGTTTTCCCTCTCTCTAGTTTAGTTTCTTCCTCTACGCGTTTGGCCCAATTCACACACTCATCAGCTCTGTTTCTAAACATCTTCTTCCCACACTAATCGCCATCGTTGCTCCACTTCCCACTCTGATTCGCTCATTTGAGCTTTCTCTTTTTTTTTGTTCTGTTTGCGATGGCGCGTAGGTCTGGAGATTGCATGAGATGTCTGGTGATATTCGCGGTGGTATCAGCTTTAGTAGTGTGTGGACCTGCTCTTTATTGGAAATTCAACAAAGGCTTCGTTGGATCCAACACTCGTAAGAGCTCTGTTTGCCCTCCTTGCGTCTGTGATTGCCCACCTCCTGTCTCTCTCCTCGAGATCGCTCCTGGTATAATGTCTCTCTTTCTCGTTTTTGATTGGATCTGATTTAAAGATGGGATCTTTCAATCAAGCTACCTCTTTTAGATTTGATCTTATGTTGTCTAAGCAGTAAGAATGAATCTCAACTTTTTTATTTTGTCTAACAAGTTGATGTTTTTCTTTGTGCAGGGCTTGCAAATCTCACTGTTACAGGTTAGATCTCGATTCTGAGCTTCATTTTGTTTAGCTTCTGTGCGTGTGTTGTGTTTCGCTTACTGTTCTGTCAAAGTTGTAAACATGGTTTGATAGTGTTATTTGAGGAGCCTTCATATCTGTTGTTCCAAAGTCTTTACCTTTCTGATGTGAGTCTAGACTTTTCGTTGTTATTTTGAGAACTGAAGTTTTGGTGAATTAGGAGTTATTAGTTATCCAGTTGAAGCTTTATTGCAGAACACTTTAGTCACTTTCTCCGGTGAAGTTTTCTGTGATCAAATTCGGATATTAATATGTAGTTATAGCTCTTGTATTATCCTGTGAAGTAGTACGTTGCGTTGTGAACAGATTGTGGAGGTGATGATCCAGAGCTCAAACAGGAGATGGAGAAGCAGTTTGTGGACCTTCTGACCGAGGAGCTGAAGCTGCAAGAAGCAGTTGCTGATGAGCATAGCCGTCATATGAATGTTACCCTCGCAGAAGCCAAGAGAGTTGCGTCTCAGTACCAAAAGGAAGCTGAGAAATGCAACGCCGCCACTGAGATTTGTGAGTCAGCTAGGGAGAGAGCTGAAGCTTTGTTGATTAAGGAGAGGAAGATCACTGCTTTGTGGGAGAAGAGAGCTCGGCAATCAGGGTGGGAAGGTGAGTAAAACTGATTGCCCTCTTCTCATTTCAAACCCTGTCCGAGAAACCGAATTTTCGCAACTTAGCTCAAGGAAAAGTCCTTATCTTCCACGTTTTTTCCATATATGTAGTCTTTTGTTTTGCCTTTGGATCTGAATGTAGCTAAAAGAATGGCTTGTGGCCTTGTATTGACTTCTCTTCAATTATATAATTGTCCATTTCTCTACCACTAAAGTTTCTCTTCTCTCGTTAGTTATGAGGTTGGTTCTGTATCTTATGTTCATGTTCAGAGGAGTCTGTGAGTTGATCCGATTGCATGCAGCTAGATTTGATGCCTGTCGGTGATATATTGTATAATGCTTTAAGCTAAGGTCAAGAGGATAAAGAAACGTTGAAACTGGAGACATTTAAAGACCTTTCACACGTCAAGAAACGTTGAAAGTTTTGAACAGAGACAAAAGTGGAGATGTCAAACGAACTCAGGTTGACATAGTTATGATCACGCGGTTTCGTGTTTTCAATTATTCCTTCCATTCACAAAAACAGCTGTCTTTGTTTCTGTTCTTTTAGCGTCGCCGGCCATTAAAGTACTCTGTTTTGCATTATTTCTAAATATTCCAAGGGACATACTTCATAAAAGCTTCAGATCTACCATTAAAAGAAACAGATCTAGGTTAGTACACTCCATGTGGGTTGTAAAAAAAACAATCCATAAAGAAAGGATAAGACATCTTTACGACTTTGGTTCTAGATTCAACTAATCTCTGTGCTCTATTATTCTGCGAGGTTCTTTGAAGCTTCCTTAGTATAGGACTTGTGCTCTATTTTCTAACGTAGAGAATTGCATTAAATTCGTAACTCTCTAGACACAGAGATTGATAACTTATCTTTACTTTAAATGGAAAGTTCGATGAGGAAGAGAGGACATGGACACAATCAAGAGTATACAGATAACTTGTCAGAAGTTTCAGAACCAAAGAGACAGAAGAAGCTTCCAGCTTTGGCAAGGTAAGTCATACTTTACATATGATATGTCTCATGCATCGTAACTTAATATTGTTTTGGCTGTTATTATAAACGCCTTTGGTAAAAACCTATCTGAGAGATGTTTATTAAGTATCTTGCTCAGATTTTGTATTAAAACAAGAACTGCTTTACAGTGTCATCGTGGAAGCTGTCAAAGTAGATAGTTTGCAGAGGCTATGCTCGTCTTTGGAACCTTTATTCCGCAGAATTGTGAGTTAATATTCTATTTCAAAGATTATTTTTACAAATCTTGTGAAGCGTGTGGGAATTTTAATATGGAGTGAGCCAATGGACAGGTCAGTGAAGAGGTGGAACGTGCCTTATCAAAGTTGGAGAACTCCAAAGAAACTCCAAGGTAGTTTCTCTAGTTCTGTACTATCTCCTTCACTGGAATGGTTCCATGTTCTTTACTGCAATTTTTGTGTGTTTTAGATCTCTAGAACCAAAGAAGATTCAAGGCCTCAATGGAAGAAACTTGCAAATTCGCTTTAGAACACGAATGCCTCCTCATTTATTCACAGGAGGAAAAGTCGAAGGAGAGCAAGGATCAGCCATTCACGTTGTCCTTATTGATGCAAACACAGGAAACGTAGTTCAAACGGGAGAAGAATCAATGACAAAGCTGAGCATTGTCGTGTTAGATGGAGACTTCAATGATGAAGACGATGAAGATTGGACGAGAGAACATTTTGATAGCTTTGTTGTGAAAGAGCGGGAAGGAAAACGTCCCATCTTGACTGGTCAGACACATGTGGTGCTTAAGGATGGTGTAGGAACTCTAGGAGAACTTACTTTCACGGACAATTCGAGCTGGATTAGGAGCAGAAAGTTTAGGCTTGGTGTTAAGGCTGCATCAGGGTTTCACATACGTGAAGCTAAGACAGATCCTTTTGCTGTTAAAGATCATAGAGGAGAACGTGAGTTCCTTAATACTTTGGATTGAAACGTGAGTTTCTTTGATTGTTTATCTGAATCTTGGTTCTTTTGGCAGTATACAAGAAACATTATCCACCGGCTTTAAATGATGAAGTATGGAGATTGGATAGAATAGCGAAAGATGGAGCACTACACAAGAAGCTAGTAAAATCTAATATCATGACTGTTGAAGACTTCCTTAAGATACTTGTGAAGGAGCCACAGAAGCTAAGAAGCGTATGTGCATCCATAAACATCTATACAAGAAGTTAGTCTTGGTTTATAATCTTGGTCTGTGTTTGCAGTTACTTGGGAGTGGAATGTCAAATAGAATGTGGGAAAACACGGTGGAGCATGCAAAGACTTGTGTATTGGGTGGGAAACTTTACGTTTATTACACAGAGAAGACGCCTAATACAGGCGTTGTCTTCAATCATATATATGAATTTAGAGGCTTGATTGTTAATGGCCACTTCTTATTTCTGGAATCTCTTAACCATGACCAAAAGGTAAGACATTCTTATTCCCAGTGGAATCTGCAGTCTCATACCTTTAAGATCTGAGCTGTTTTTTTTCTTTTCTTGCAACTGAACAGATATCTGCAGACATTATGGTGAAGGCTGCTTATGAGAACTGGCACAAAGCTGTTGAGTATGACGGTAAGCTGTTGAATTGCTTACCAGAGGCAAAAATGGCACAGAACCATCAGGAGACTCTGCAGTGTCATCAGAATGTGAATAGCTACTCACCTCAGCAACAGATACAGTATCCGTTTGTACAACAATTAGGAAGCTACACATCGGTGGAGGGTTCCTCAGTTTCAGGCTCATACAATGGAGTCCGTGAAGATATCTTCACAGAGGAAATTAGGGTGAGAAGTTCAGAGATGCTTGAGAGCGATGATATGCAGAAACTGCTCAAGACATTTGGGATAGCAGGCGGGTTTAGTCATATTGATGAGTCGGATTACGGTTTCAATGATCGGTATGAAGCTCAGATTGACAAGGGTTATGGGAGAGAAAGAGGCAGAGGCTCAGGGAAAGCTGTGGTGGGTTGGCTTAAGCTTAAAGCTGCATTGAGATGGGGTATCTTTATACGCAAGAAAGCTTCAGAGAGGAGGCCTCAGATTGTGGAGATCGACTAAGAAACTGTAATATATTATGTGAGCTCTTTGTGAAAATTTGTTTGCTTGTTTAATTGTTTGCATTCTGTTGCTTACTTTCTGTTGACTAATTGATATAGTAAATCCAAGTAACTCGTGCACTGTACTTATTTGTTTCGTCAATGAACATTGGACTGGTCGATGTTATTACACATTTTGTTCTCTGTTAGCTTCTCCAACAAGTAATGATGTTCTACAAAACTTCAAAGTTGGTGCTACATTACATTTTTTCTGTTACATGAGACTGAACATCGAGCAAATAACCCAAGAAAATGGCTACATTTTACAGTAAACAGCTCCCTAGATGATCTTTGTTCCCTCATTGTCTGTGACCCGGTGTTTAGCATTTGGTTTTGATCTCACTGAGGTAATGACTCTCGTCAGCTTTCCTTGAGTGTTCCGAGTTCAAAACACATGGCAATGCACATAAAGGAATCTACCAATTGTCTTCTGATTCTGCTACTAACCTCTCCGAACACACATCCTACCTTTTCCGAAATCTCAAGCACCGATTATGCTTAGTCTCAGTGATACTAGGCTCATTGTGTAGTTCTTTGGGTGGTGGATTGGTTAGAGATAGTTTCTCCATTGCATTTATAAACTTTCGCAGGTGTTTAATGTACTCAGGATACGTCTCAAGGTTGCAATGCCCTCCTCCTTTCACCCATAACGGATCATACTTCTCCTTGGCCAGCTCCCACAATCGCTTCCCGTGAGACAAATCCACAATATCATCCTTTGTACCCTGCAATCTCAACCACACAATCAAATCAGCACGTATCAAGAAAACGAAATAAAGACAGAGTCTACAGTTGTTAGAAGCGTGTACATACATGTATGACAAGAACTTTGGAGTTGACATGGCGAATCTTGTCTATGTTCTGCAATATAAATGAGATCATGAGACCTGACCAGAGTATATAATATATAGACTTTGACAAGAACACTTACCTTGAAGATATCAAACCAGAGTGTCATTTTGACAGGATACAAGACTCTAATGCCAGAGAGAATGGCACTGTGAAGAACAACTCCTCTCAACCTCTTCAACCTTGAAGCCATGTGCAGCGTTGGTCCACTCCCTACAGATTGTCCGTAAAGAATCAGCTCCTCTTGTTTGATCCCATAATCGCTTCTTAAACAATTGTATACTGCCTCAATGTCATAATATGTGTTGAACTCAGACGGCTATACCACCAAAAAAAAACAGAGTTTAAATCAGAAAAATTAAATAAAAATTACATTAATCTTTGTTTTTTACCTTTCCTGTTGAAGCTCCATAGCCTGAATAATCATAACTGTTTCAAAAAAATTAAAATGTAAAAAATCTAACAACAAAAAGGTTTTAAGATTTTGTGATGTGTATTATTATTTACCTCATGATGTTGACGCGGAGATGAGCACGAAGCTCGATGAAGAGCTCAGCCATTTGGCCAAGATCAGCTGCGTTGCCATGAGAATAAAGAAGCGTGAATCTCGCAAAAGGGTGTCTCCAGAACGTGGCTACAACTTTGTTACCGGACTTGGTGCTGAGCTGATGGACTTCCATGTTCATTTCGGGAGATACTCCGGAGAAGACCAGCTTCCCTGTCTCCTCATCCTTCGTTACTCCGTACGTTGCCGGATCAGGCGGGAAGAATGCGAACTTGGCCGCCACGTTTGACGTTACATTACCCATCTAATCAAAATCTTGTCAAAAATGAATTAAGAAAAAAAAGAAGAACAGAACTTTTGACGAAGAGAAGGAGAAAAAAAACACAAACCCAAAACCTCCTTCCCTCTATGTCTAAAAATAAATATTTTTTTTGTTGTTGTTATGGTTTTGTTTGTGTTAAACTTCTAGAGAGAGAGAGGTAAAAAATGGAGGGGAGGTGGTTGAGGAGAGAAGGATAGGATCCGATCTTGGCGGGGGAAAGAAGATGAAGATGATGAGTTGTATCATATGAAACCTAACTTCTTATAGACAAGACACCTCTTCTTCGTTTTCTGTTAAAATGGTCTTAATTATTAACTATGCATTTAATCTTATGATTTAACAAATTAGGTTATTAGAAATTCAAAGAAGAAATAGTTTTGACGTAAGCTTTCTAACCTATAAGCCTTTAGGTGCAAGTTTTACAAATGTAAATCAAAACTTTAATTACAAGTTGCATGTTTTTTTGTGTGTTTGTCATGACTAATTTTGGTCGTAGACTATAAATCTTGTTGTAGATTACAAAGAAGTTAAGGCACAACCGTACAAGTTGAATGTCTGTGATTACTAACGAAAATATTTTAAATACTTTATGCTTTGTTTGAATCATCTGTGTAACTTTCTCATACGATTAAAATCAAATTCAAAGCAACATGTAATAAATGGTATCAGCAGCTAGCTGGTTTCCGTTTTCCACATTTTAGTTAGGCCTCTTTTTGCATTGAATTTTTAGTCAAATACATTGAACTTACCATAACAAAAACTAGACATATTTATTTCATCAGATTCTTTGTGTCCTTAGAATTTAGATTTACCATTTGTACTGATCATTTTTTCGTACTTGATTTTAAACAAATTTTACACATGTTTATTTTGTTTGCGCCTTGTGTCTTGAAAGTAGAGTTACACGTAAGATTGAAGGGCTATGATTTGGTCAAAGGCTGCAAGTTAAAGGCCTTTAATGGAATTGCTGTCAGAGACTAAGACATTCCTCTCTTCTTTTAATTGGCCGATACACCCCAAATGGGGGTGTATATTAGTCACTTGCCCATGATGGGACATATTTATTTTGTCTGACCAAATTGCCCTTTCTCTCTCTCCTTCCTTCCTGCATTTACATGTGGGTGTTTAATTTTTTTTTTTTTTCATTTTCGTTATCACTACTCTTCTCTCCTCTTATCATTTTCAAAATGAATTACATACAAAATAAATATGTTAAATATTTTTGAGTTCATTTTGATTCTTAAATAATAATTATAAATTTTAAATTTACTCAATGTGATTTGGAAATACAAAATTCAGTGATGCATTTTTTTGATGATATCAATTTTCTGGGTTTTAGATTCGACGTCGTGTTAGCGGTTAACAAATATTGTAGACGTTAACAGAAATGTTAACTGTTAATACTTATTTTTACGCTTCGCGTTAATAAATATGTTCGCTGTTAACAAATATTGTAGACGTTAACAAAAGTGTTAACTGTTAACACTTATCTTTACGCTTCGCGGTAATAAATGTGTTGGCTGTTAACAAATATTGTAGACGTTAACAGAAGTGTTATATGTTAACAAATGTTTTTACGCTTCATGTTAATGAGAGGAAAGAGAAATGGTATTCTCGGCATTTCCTTGCCAAATGGTTGTGTCAGTGTCCTTTATGTCCAATCAATAGTAGTTTGTTAATTTGAGCTGTAAATAAGGGTAATACACTAAATCACTCATTTATTTTTACTTCTTTTTTTCTCTTGCCTCCCCTCCCTTCTTCCTAGATTCTCTTTAATCACTACTCTTTCTCTTTTCATTTTGTCACGTTTTCAGTTTACAATTTCCTGTCCCAATATTTTTGTTTTGTTTTAAGTGCAGTAAAAACAAAATAAGAACGGAGACATTTCCAGTTTGAACAACTCAATTTCTGACAATATTCTGTGTGCTTTGGAGTTTGTCAGCTTCAGATTTTGACCAACAAATTACTATAGCAAATGGTGTAAACTAATGATGCAAATAAATAACACTAAATGATGAGGTTATAACCTAAAATTGGGCAATGGCCCTTGAACCCCGCCATATTGAATGGAGACAGTTCGAGGTATATCAGTTAACTCTCTCTCTTGCAGACCGTTCCTCATAGATAACTTTTTTGTTTTCTTTGTTGTTATTATGGTTTTGTTGTTTTTAGTGGTTTTGTTTGTGTTAAAAACTTAAAACTTCTAGAGAGAGAGAGAGGTAAAATGGAGGGAAGGTGGTGGAGGAGAGAAGGATAGGATCCGATCTTGGCGGGGTAAAGAAGAAGGAGAAGATGATGAGTTGTATCATATGAAACCTAACTTCTTATAGACATCTCTTCGTTTTCTGTTAAGTGTTGTTAATTATATATTAACTATGCATTTGTTCTTAGGATTTAACAAATTAGGCTATTAGAAATTCAAAGGAGAAATAGTTTGACGTAAGCATTTTCTAACGTATGCTCATCATTAGCCTAATGAGAATCAATATTTAACTACATGTTTTGGCCCACATGTACAGATGATATACAGAATTTAATTTTTAATTTACTAATATCTAATTATTCATTATTCATTTTCTATTTTTATGATTGAAAATAAAAATTCTGATAATAACAAAAAAAAATATATATAGAAATTATTTTTTAATTATAGTTATTATATATATAAATATTGAGTTGATTTTAATTATATAAATATATTATATAAAATTATTCAATAAACATGTTACAACTTCAGAAAAAAGGAATGCAATCTATATAAAATTAAAGAACTTACATTTTATTGTCAAGCACTTATATAACTTATGTTTCAATTGCAAACACGAGAAAATATACTTCTTGATAAAATTATTTTTTTCAACATTTGGTTGGTTTAAATGTTAGAAAATCTTAAACAGCGGTTTATTTGAGGATATAAAATTAGCAAAAAAATAATAGTTAACATTAATTTTCATATAAAATAATTTAATTATTCATTAAAGATATAAACGACATTAACCAGTCTAACTTTTAATATGAGAACTCAAAAATTAATTCAAAATCAGCATAATATGTTATTACTTATATTTTCAAAAAAATTAACCAAAAATCAAATTAATTATAAATTACAACTCTCACATATCAAAAATATTTTAAAATTTTAAACAAATAAATATTTTTGTTTGTTTTATATTTAATTATATTTTTTTATATTTTAAATTTTATAATAGAAAATATAGTTACAAGATGACAACATAATATATAAGAAAGCAAAAATAAATTAATCCCTCTTTTTATTTTTTAATGG